TATGCGTTGATGGTTTTAGTTGTTTGAAGCGCACGTTCATTCAAATAAAGAATAACGAAGATTTTGTACGAGCGTAATACTACCAAAAGTGGTAGTACAGATAGTAGTAGCGGTATTGGTGTTGTAACAGCCGGATTTGTCCTGTATCACGGCAGTGCATGCATGTGCCTATGCATCACCGAGGTTCACATGTTCTAAATACCGTGAACGTGTGTAATATTGGATGTCGGTGCGCGTTAAAGAACAACAGGTGGCCCGAATTTTCAGAGCACTATGCTACAGGGTCTCTTATAATCATATTGGTGGTTTTGGGAAGTGAACCCTTAAATAATATTTTATTAAACGCAGTGAAGCTGCTCTTCATCAACCATTAGCCGTGAGCCGTCGTAACGCTAAGCCGAGCTCCGACTGTGTGAAGTGTTTTTTGGACACACAGCAGTGAAATGAGAGTGCCATATTATCATTTTAACGAATAGCCCTACCGTGCAAGTATGAAGGGAAAAAGCAGAGAAAAAAACAGGAAGGAGCGAAAAGAGTGCTTTTATTCAGATGGCAATTACATACACTATCGCCTGGATTTTGCCGCCAGCGTTGGAGTCGATGTCATGCACCGTATATGAATACGTTTCTATGTATATGAAAACGCAAGAAACAAAAAAAAATCTATAAAAAAGGATCCAGCGCACGGAGTTGAACGTGGGCCCTCCGCGTCGTAGATGTGAGGCGTTAGTCACTGAGCCCCCGAGGGGTATCTCTTTAAACGTTCCATGGCAAGCTAATAATATCTACCACATACCGCTGTTTGCGAGCATCTCTGGGGAACTATAGTGTTTTCAGCATTATCGGCAAAAGGGCACAATGAGCGCATGGCGGCTCTCATCTCTCACACGTACTTTGGCCCGTGGAGAGGAGGGGAGTGGACGATCTCTCGTGCACCCTTATCTCGCGGTGGGGAGAATCAGACGTCTTGGCTCGCGTTTCTTTTGCACTGGAACAATTCTGTTGTAGTGACGGTGCGCACAAAGGTCGCTGCAATCTTTGCACAGCCTCCATTTGCAAAAAGAGGCGCACTTTTCATGCACAAGAAAGTAAAAACTGAGACACTTATTCGCGTTCATCTGAACCTGTGAGTATGTTTCGAGCGTCATTCGTGCATGAGAAACGCGGGGCACGTTTAGATCTGCTTGCCATTCTGTGCGTGACCTTTCCATTTGTTACCATTGCGTTTATTGCTTTGCCTTTATGGCAAATCTGTGACTTTTTTATCTACTTCCCTCACTTATGACTGCGCAGCCCGCTACCATTTGAACGTTATGAATCAAGAAGCCTACAAATAGGTGATATTTCAAGCAGTATTACGAAACTCTTCTTGGATGTGTGAGGCTCTTAGTCCAGTAAACAAAATGAGCTGCAAAAGTGTGCCTGAGCACACTTTTGCAGCTCATTTTGATGGCACCGAAAGAAATCATGTACCGAAGGCTATTGCAGAATACTTTCGAACTCTGATGACTTTCCTGTTCAACCTGAACACTTCGACCTCCTGAAGGACGCAGAATTTTTGACTATATGTTTTCATGCTTTTAATACACTTACATAGTAAGCATGATCAAAAGAAATAAATGCATTGCTTGTTCAGCCATCAATAGGCCTGCAAGGTTATGTGCCGTATTCGCATTCTATTCAAAAGAAACTCAAATATACATGTCATCGTTTGTTCGGTTCCACTTCAATTAAATATTTGATTTGTTAATAAAACTTTTTATTATTGGCATAGGCTTGCAGTTTGTAAAAAAAACGCTCGCTCAACGTCTGACGATGGAGCTCCCCTAACTATAGAGTTAGAAATATGCTTCAAAACTACGATATAGTAAGTAACTGAAAAGGTGTGATCAAAGGCAGCCACCTGGAAGAGAGGAGCCTGATCGGCACTGATGCCACCTTAGAAGAAGCATTTACATGAATGCATGAGTAGTCTACCATGCTTTCTGTTGCTCATCAGGGGTGCTATGCATGATGGCCTGAGCTTTTCGGGCAGACGAGTTGGCTCCGAGCTGGCTTTTCGGCGGACATGGCAGGAAGACATTGGGAATCGTGTGATAGCAGTGGTGAACGAAATGGCTACAGGAACGCACAAGGTCTTGGACAGGCATGTATAGCATTTTCGGCGGTTACCAAAAAAACACCCAGTGCGAACATCTCAGTGCCACCATTCTATCAACATTTAACAGTGCAGCGACGGCAGCGTGATTGGCGTGCTATCTCTTTGATAACTTAACGCACCCTTCGTCCCACAGACCTGTTATTGGGCGTATGTCCGCTTTCTAACAGGTTCTTTCGTTCCACTTGCAGCATGAAAATTTCCACTTTCCAAACAGCAAAAGTGAACACGTACCACTGGAATGCTGTGCGTTTTGCTTCTATCAAAATATTGCGGATAAACATAAGGACAGGTCACCACCAGGGGCACTTGCGTCATGGCGGCAATGCTGCTGTGATTGGATATGCTGTGAACACGGTGGAATTCAATGCAAGACATCGTAGCTTCGTAGTGATATCACTTTTACTCCTATACGCGCGTGTGTGCATAGTCTGTGCGATAAAGCTGATAGATTGATCCTGCCGCTCGACGTGAGTACTGCTACTCGGCAAAAGCCAACGTGGTGGGCATATCCAATCTTCACCGCGGGCGTCTGTGAAACAAACTGATTCACGCGTGAGCTCCAATACAAACTTGTTGATTCTGAGAAGGCACCAGTTAAACTCTTGACTGTCATGGTGCTGGTTTGACTGCCAATCGTTTGATGCCGTGAACGCTAAGCGGCAGCTTCTTTTCACATAAAATATTTTGCTGAGTATAGTACTCGGTCAAGGCTGAAGGCATAGAGATGCTTTTCATAACCTAGCTTCTTGCAGCTTTTCAAGTTTTTCGTCTGCTCATGAGCATGGTTAACTTTAAAGTGAAGACGATATCAACTCTATCTTTTTTTACTATACTAATTTACTGATTCTTAACGACCCTTACACTGAGCTGCCTTGTGTTCATTGGTAAGTCTTCAAGTTAAATTCAAATATTTTGGGCTCAATCAGAAAGGGAATGATCAGTATGGAGCTATTAAGTGTAATCATGGTATAGCGAGATAACAATTGTCATTATATTAGTAAGGGCTAATTAGCATGGTTTTACTTAGCGTGATTTTAAATAACGTCGCGCTAAATAGCATAGCTCATCAACTCACATGCTTTGGTTGGCCCAGTTTTAGCTTTACATGCCTTCATTAGCACGGTCTTTTTTAGAGCTGGCGTTCTAACCTAGGCCTTACCATCAGTTGACGTAATCAGCTTGGTCATAGCATGTCCTGGCCTGGCCTAACTAGCCACGTATACCGTCCAGCCAAGTAGCTATTTAGCCAGCTGCACGTGCTCGGACACTAAGCCATGACAACAAAGACGACGCTCACCGGCCGAGCAGCGCGCTAGAATGTACAGGGTGACCAGGAAGATTAACACGGATTCTCGGGTTTAGCTGCGACCACGATGCTGTAAGACGCTTGGTCGGAACTGATATCGGAGAACACCATGCTGATTATTCTGTAAAAAAATTTTGTGCAGACATTTAAAACTTCAAAATTGATTTAAACATCCTGTGCCTCTGAAAAATATGGTCACAAAATTTTCTCACACTTCTATACCGTGAGTTTTCTTCTGCACACAGTGGAACGACAAACAAATGAAACAAGATGCGTCTGGTTTGAAAACACTGCCCAACTCATTCAACCATCCTTGACGCGATGACTGGTTCCACCGTAACCTACGAAACGCAGCGTGCTGAGGGGTGGATTTCAATTTTTCGTACTGTTGGCTTATTCATAAGGGGGTGTGACCAGAGTTCTAGAATATTCAGAGTTTCGCAAAACTCGAGCGAAGCTCGGCCTATCCTGCATGGCGCTTCTAAGCGATACTATGAGATACTCGGTGCGCACGCTGTCTCGTATTGTCGGGACCTCTTTAGCTGGAGCAAATGGTGAGTGCTTATTGCTGAAGAGTGGAGGAGCGCACAAGCTGGCAGCCGCCCCACTGGTGAGACGACTTACCCGTGCTGATATACCCTTGCAGGCGCATCAAAGCGCCCGTAAACCACCTCCTATATTTTTTAAGCATTTAAAGTAAATGCGTGAATCGTGTGAGGAATCTCATAGCGATTAACAATTCTACACGTGGCAGTGCTACAAGCCCCCGGCGCGCCACAAATTCGAAGAAACAATCCCTCCTTCTTTCCGGTCCTTTTGGGCCTCCGCGTAACGCGCTGTGCTACATCTCTGTCGCGCCGAGCCAAAGCAAGAGCCTGCAACTTCCGGTCAGTCTGCAAGCAGCTGTCCACGCTGCTTATTTTTTTTCACCAATATTGCCCACGTGCTTGCAACACGTACAGGGCACGGCGTATCCTCGTATGAGTTCATCGCGTTGGCGGTCCTTTGAAGGCGTGCGTGCAACGCAGGATTCATACTGGCACGATTACAGCAGCCACGGTTCGCCATCAAGCACGCAACTACAACGCAACTGATGGCGAATTCCACTTGTCAAGCGTATCTACAGTTACAGTTACAGTTATTTACAGTTCATTTAGCAATCTTTTTCAGCAATTATGTTAAAGTACAGCGAAACGCTGACAATCCGCGTTTCGCTGGTAGATTTGGAGCAAGTTCCCATTTTTCACTAGTGGATTCGGAGCAATCCACTCTGCGAAGGAGCGTTCCGCGTGCTCCGTCTTGAAGAGACGAATTTCGCCGGAACTCTGAGAATGAGTTGCCGTCATTATCAGTACAGTCGTGCAGCTGGGTCACCCTCAGCGTTTTTCGAGGTGGTCTAGTAACCCTCTGGTCTTGTTTACATTCCTAAAATTGAAAAGCTGTAGCCCTGCTTTCCGCGAGACTTCGTTGTCGAAATGCGTGCTTTGAAGTGGCGACACAGTTGTCAGTGAAATGTCGAAGCAGAAAAAAAAATCGTTTCCGGTACCGGTTTATTGACGTATTAATAAAAAAACTTCCGGAGAGACCTCACGCGGGGCATTCACGTGTTACTCTTGCAGATCACGTTTGGCACACTCCGAGTGCTAGCTCCAAGATTTCGGCGGGAACTCCGGATCTCAAAGACCGGATTCGCGGCAACCGAAAGTAGGTGGTGTCTCAAGCAGCGTGTCAAATATCACGTTTGCCACACGAGATTGGGGGGAGCATGGAAGGGACGCTCGGCGAGAGGGCAAAGCGGCGTGGGAGAGGACACCAGCGGAGGGAAGAGCAAGAGAAAGTGAAAGGCGTAGTCGTCAAGGTTTCGATATAAAAGCGCGTCTAATTCCGCTATTACTGCACCGTTTGGAAAAATTTTTCAACGCCGTGTTCATCATACACTCGTGCACAATTTCTCCACCACAACTGACCTTCGACCTCTGGGTTGTTTACGGACCCTTTAGTACATTGTGTCTTCCAAGCGGATTACTAACATATAGCTTACCAATATTTTGTTACTTCATAGAAATGTGATGCCACGCGTGACTTGTCACATACATGTAAACGGGGATATGGATTCGAAGATGATCTAAACATCATAGCTCCTAGATGTGAACAGCGACACCACAAGCGTGGAAATGTTGCGACTGCGCCACTGCTTCGTTCGAGGCAGCCGTGTCTTCAAGGAAAATTGTAGATGGTGGAGCTTTCAATGGAGCCAAGCGCCCAGGCTTCAGTGCAGCCGCTGCACAGGATTTGTCGCGTGAGAGACCTGCTTCTTCGTCCTGCGTTTCAAGAAGAGTAACAATAGCTGGAGGTAAGGAAATAAGAATATTTTGTTGAGTGCATCAATCAAATATTAATTATACTCCTAGGACACTGTGTATTTTCATGCGCATCAACGAAATGTATGGGCACCCGAAGTGCCTGATTGACATCACTCACCGCCGGTCCACTAAAAATAAAAAAAGACAAATGGGTGGGGAGCAAAAATCAAGATTATGCATGAAATACCAAGCGCATACGGCAAACCAGACACGTATTTTTCAAAACAAACATTGAGGCAAAATGACTTTAGTACCATGGACTCAAATTTAAAACTCTAAGGGCGCATATGCTAATATAAAGGGGGACTTTCCAGGCAGGCATTGAAAATTTAATTGTGTTGTGTGATCAGTTTTGTTCAAATTTTGTGACACTTTAGTGTCAACATGAAAATAGTTGCGACACGCTGTTTGAGTGCCATCAAAGTCAGACACAATAAGGCATACACTTAATTCATTTACATAATACACCGGATGATTGTCGAAGATATAAGTACCTGGTAGAACGTTCGAGCCACATACTTCAAATGTATGTTAGAACGAATCCCGGGGGAAGAGCTTTTGTGTGTAAGCAACCCTATGGTAGCACCGAATTGCTGAAGATTGTACGGCTGGTTACGGACGTAACTGTAAACGTCAAACACGTGTCATATCACACATTCAACAAACTGAAGTCATTGCAACGGTACAGGATTGCATCGACATTTACTGTCTTATTCGATTTAAAAATGAGTACAAGGCTGTACCAGTGCGTTTCCGGACTTGCTGCTCCTGTACCGTGAGTTGGTGCTCGCGGAATTGAGGGCACCAGTTTTTGTTCAGAGGGACAGAAACTGTATTGGGTCATGCCTGGCGCCAATTCTCTCGAATGTGTTAATGGCAAAAGGAGACCAGGCTCTGCAGTCTCGCACGAACATGTACGACCCTGGCCTTTTTCAGTTACCTTGATGACTTTTATTATGTTTTCACATCTCAACTAGTGGTGATATAATTACAGAATATACAGTTGTTTTGTTTAAGATGACAATCCGTCGTTTAGATTTCACCCACAAGCTACTCAGATGTTTTGAGATGAAAGTACTAAACATTAAGATATTGGACGGTAAGGGACACACGCGCTGGTGAAACGCTGTAAGAAGAGACAAACGTTTGTTGAGCTGCAGCTCAGTCAATTTCTTGTTCACGAGAAAAGCGTTGGGTTTGCATGTATGTTGAATTGCGGCTAATTGTCGTTGGACCACACGGAAGCACGAAATGGAATGAAACTAGTAGGCCGACTCAGGGTGATCAGGAAGGTGATCAATCTATACCCCAATGGGTGTATATCTCCCTGACGTAGATGCTCTTTAAAAAAAAAAAAAAAAACTACCAGACATGTGTGAAACGCGCAGCACAGTCACAGTGAAAGCTGGAAGAGTGGCCTTTTAGAACCTTTTCTAAACACTCTTTGGGTATAGCTGCTACAAATACACTTCTTGGGCACCCACTACGGCATATATATTCATAATTTTTGTGTATTAGGCCGTTTTTTCCTGTGCTATCTTTCGTCATCCTTCGGAGACGCGTGGTATCCGCTAGGTACTTCTTAAGAATTTTGTGAATTTTCTTTATGCAGTGGATGACGACCATCAAGAATTAAGCCTTAAGTGGATATGCGCAGCAGTAATTAGGTGACGAAGAACAAGCTTTTGTAATGGGTTGAAGCATTGCACAACTCACTCGTTGCGCAATTCGCTTTGTGTCACACCTGGTTGTTCCTTTGCGGTTCTAAAACGCTTCATTATTCATGTGATGTAGTCGGGGGCCTGCCCATAGAATCGGAGCCAGCCAGAGTCTCGAAAAGAGGTCGACTAGAGTAGCCGGAGCTGTTAACAGTTTATTTGTATGTTTATGTTAATGTATTTGTATGTTAATGTTTATTTGTAACATTCACGGGTAGTGTGTTACTACATGATTGGGGTAATATCATGAAAGCTCTCGACGGAAGTTAAATGGGAGCTTCCGGCAGCTTATCAGGGGCGTCTCGGCGCTCGCGTTTTATGCCTTGGTCTTCTCAGGATTTTCTGCAGGAAAAAAAAAGATGCTAGGACAGTCCTATGGAAATAACGTTGTCCCATCCGCCCCCGAAAGCAGAAGGTGAAACACCGCCTCATTCCCAACCCACGAAAAGGGAAAGAGGCACGGCAGGTTCGATCGAAGGCGCATAAGCAAACACTACACGACACAGCACAATGCAAAGGCATTGGGTCGTATGTGCAGATCAACTGTGTGGTCCGTTGCAGTAATGAGTTTGGGGTGGCGGGGAGGCCAATTCTGTGGAAAACGGCATAAAGGCACGACGAAGAACGTGGCATATGCACCCAAACACTGATCCCATATACATGGCTTATTGTCTGCTGCAACGCACAGATGGCCCCACTTTCTGAACTATTTTGACTGCAAACTGTGCTTTTTAGTCCACCAGTCGGTTGGGCATGTTTACAGGGTATTAAGAGGGGAGAAAGTTACACTGCGAAATTCGAAGTACTCCAGTCATGTTGTCGCCCGCTTTTGGCCCATCTCTGGCAGCGTTGACCCAGAGGAAGTCAGGGTATAGGCTCAGCCGTAACTAATTATGCGTCCAAGCCGTGCCAAGCCAGGCAGGCCGATCAGAACAACCAGTCCACCGCCACAGGAGGCTGGTCTCAAAGAGGTTGCAGCACCACAGCACTCCAGAAATACCGTATATCTGCTTCCTTGTAGACGTTGACGTAGGGTGCATTCATCTCTGGACCTGTGCCATGGCTAGCAAACGCCAGAAACGAACCACGCAAGACCTGAGGCCCCGCAAACACAGAACACTCAACTGACCTTGAGAAATGCCAGGTGGCTACATTTTCTGGTAAAATGACCCTCTCAATTAACAATTGGTGCTTTCGCTCTTGAAAATAAAGAATGAGTCGAAAAGCCATAACAATTAAAAGTTAAATCGAGCGCGAACACACGACACAATCACTCACACACGCACACACGCTGGTGTGTGTTTGATGCTTTGGTGTGTGCGCGTGTGAGAGTGATTGTGTCGTGTGTTCGCGCTCGAAATAACTTTTAGAATTGTTGTAAAAACTAGCCGTACATTACAAGCCTACTACGTGCGAAACAAATAAATAGCCTAACGTTTTGTGTCACTTCCCAGACAGATTCGCAGCTTTTAAAGCACGCAGGTGCTACGGTTGACACAAAAATGAAAGTAGGTAATCAATTATTTCCTCTTCTCACAACATTACCAGAAGTCAAACTCAAACCTGTGCGTATAACATTAAACAAGCAGAGAAACAAAAACCTACGCTACAGTGATGATGCGCATGCTAACAAGTATCTGCAAATTACAGAAGGTTTATATAGAGGCCTTTTGTCAGCCTTATTTTCCGTTTAACTCAGCTTGTGCGTATAATATGAAAGAAACAGAGAAACAAAAATCTGCAGAGCAATGATGCGTGTAATGACAAGTATACTTTTAAAAAAGCTTTAAACAGAGGCTTCTATAATCAGCCTACTTCTCTGCTGAAATCAACTTGCGCATAAAACACAGAAGCAAAAACCTACACTACAATGAGGCGCCTACTAATAAGTATACTTCAAAATACCGAAGGTTTAAACAAAGGCTTTTAGTAAGCCTTCTTCTCTATTGAACTCAGCGCAAAAATCCTCTTCTCGAGCACTAGGTGTTGCTAAATGAAAGCAAACGACAAATATCCTAATGTCTTCTTTTAAGATGGCGAGAAAACAAATCGGCCCAGTATCTGCATTTTCATTCCAAATGTCGTCGAAAGACGATAGTATGGCTTCAGGAAGAGTCAGCAAAACGTTTATTTGATGTTCTGCGCGAGAAAATTGTCAAATTGTATTCTGGAAGCGCTGCGTTTTTCGCACAGATGGTGCGATTTTCCGTGCGATGTGGCGTGCGGTGCGACGATGCGGCAGCCGGAGTGGCGACATTTCGTGACGTTTCATGACGTATCATCACATCGCACTGTCAGGTAGCCGGTGCGACAAGGATGAAACCGGCCAAATATTTTTGTCGCCACATCGCACCGCCACATGGCAGCAGCCAATCACAGCACGAGCAGACGAGTGGCGTCAAGCCGCAACTGGCGCCATCTCCCTGTAGCCGCTGCCATCACCCGTGATTCAGGCCAGTTCAAGCGAGTCGATGGAGCGGTGTGAGCGTAAATTCGCTGACATCGCCGACTGCGGCGGCGTGACAAACATCGAGTACATTTCCCTGGTTACGTGTTATTATTCCGGATTGAATAAATTGATGTTTGAAGTGTACCATTTCTGCACGGCAACGCCCGTTTTGAAACCGTTAGCGAGATCGGAGATAATTTGCTGAGACGCAAAGTCATTTCGCAAGTAAACACGGCTACCGGCGTCTCTGCGCTAGCTCGCTTCGCTTCAACTTTGCTCTTCACATCGATGGCATCGAGAAAGTAATAGCGTTGCTAACGCATTACATTTTAGTGCAACGAGTGCAGAGCTTAATATTGTTGTCAAAAACAAGCTCTCGGTAATAAGCTCGTGTGTGAACGGCGTAGGTGACGGCCGGCACCCGCCATGCTAGGACTACTTGTCGGAGTCGTGAATAATCAGCTGTGGCCGCTGTTGCGATGTGCTTGTCGTCCACGAATGCGTTTTAATAATTAGTTTTTATGAAATGAAGCGTGGCTTTACGTTGTTGTTTGTTTTGAGCTTCAATACGACGACACAAATTCATCCGATCGTGCATGCTGAGGCGCCGCGTGGGGGTAGAGCCTGCCGCTGATAGCTTCTTCGCCCCTGCGTGTCCCGAAACGTAACATGCGGCACGCCGCATCGCAAGAAAATTGCACGTCTGTCTCGCGCTTTGACAGACGTGCGATTTTCTGTGCGGTGCGGCATGCGGTGTCGCATTGTGGAGCGTGCCGCATGCGACGTTTAGG